ACACACTCCTAGAGCATTCTGGACGTTTCCTTCAGAGCCCTTGCTGCATTTGTTCAGTATCTCCCGGCCTCACCAGACGGCAAAGCTTCAGTGGGGGCGACATCTGAGTCTGCAGCATCCCAGGACCTCACACAATGCATAGCACAGGGCAAGCCCAAAATAGCTGCTGGAGAAGTAAAGAATATCACATATGGCACCCTTTGGTCATGCTGGTAAAATATTGCCACAAGCTACTAAATAAATCCACTTTTCTGAAACTTTATATATTCAGTTAAAATTTCATATAAAGGTTTTTCAATGTGCAATCTTAACAATATTCGAACTAAGAGTAAAGACTAACTTTCCATCATGGTTAAGAATTGGTCAGGTTGGTTCTTACCCTCCAGCTTGTATCCCTTGCTGCATGGTGGTTGTCAAGTGTTGGAACCTTGGTGTGTTCATTTTCCTTTGGGCAAAGGGGGCTAACTCCATGGTCAAAGCAATGATAAAAAATGAAATAAGTCAACCCAAGCCTTCAGAACTAGATCTAGTGTGCGGGAATTTCCCATATGTCTTGGCAATTACTATCAGCTTGGTCTGATAGCACCCTGATAGATTGACCTTGATCTGGTATAGATTTCTGTTTTTCCTGCGAACAGCATAGGAAAGCAAAGGAAGGCCAAGTGTGATGGCACCTAGGTTCTATATCTCTGCCGTACACTTTCCTCAAGAGGTCACAGAGAGTCTTCCCAGTTCCCACCCCCAAGCGTCATTCTTTCAGTGTAGTGTGGCCTCTTGGGAAGCATAGACTTCCTGGTCTTCTGAGGCCTCTGGGGAAATGCCTGCTTGATTGGCTTCCTGGTTCCATTATATGCTCCAGAAAAAATCCTTCTGATTCAGTTAAACTGACTACACAAATGCCAGTGAAACCCAATTAATAAAAACTCAGGATCAGAAATTGGGGTTCCACCTGAAAAGCAAAGCAGCCAGCCACTGACTCTTACTTCGACCTCAGTCTGAAATAGCTATCCTGCCTCCTGGAATCTCAGAATGAGATTTTGTCTGAGAGCTCTCTCCCCTGTATTATAATCCTCTCTAGGGCTGGGACTAAACGTATGCACCACTGGGATTAGAGGCATGCACCACCCGATTTCTATGGCAACTAGTGTGTGTGTTTCCATAACTTGGTCTGTAAGGCTGACCAGTGGGGCTGTTTTACTTTCAGATCTTCAGGCAGGCTTTATTTATTACGATACAATTGAAATGCCACTACAGGCCAGGTCCCACAGCAAGTCATTGAGACCCTGCAGCCGTTAGTTCCTCTCTCCTCTACCTCACCCTCATCCCTGCCTTCATCTGAATATTAGGGTTCTTCCCATAGGTCTCCACAGTATGGTCACCACCTTACTTAACTTTCCAAAGTTTGTCACTGTTATCTCAAAAGACCAAAGACTGCATAATATTTACTTCCCTGGGTATAGCAATGCTAACTCAAGTCACAGTAAAAAGCCAGACTCTTTGGTGCATGCCTGTCTTCCTTAGGGCATGAGGACAGGAAGATCAGGAGTTCATGTCCAGCCTAGGCTAAATAAACAAACAAACAAACAAACAAAAAACAAAAAAACTCTGTCTCAATCAATACCACCACCAAAGAATGAAGTGAGGTTGGTACCTTCCTTTTACAGACAAAACTGAAGGAGAAGAGAGGTTGAGAAAATGTGTCCAGGGTCACTCAGCAGAGTCAGGATTTGAACCAGCCTCTGGACTGCCCCTTAATCATCATACTAGACTGCTTTTGAAGGACGTTCTCCCACTCCTACTCCCCGAGGAAACTCTCCTTTAGATCCCTCACAGCACCAAATGAAAGGCTAATGGAGAGATCTACAAAGATGTGGTGTACCAGCTTAGGCAAGCATGGTACGGCTTGAGTCAGCTCTGCAAGTGAGATGCACAGGGCTTCATGCTGGAAGGAGTTTCTGTGTGTGTATGTGCATGTGTGTTATGTAATATACATATCCATGTGGGTATGGGCACTTGTGTGCACATGTGGAAGCCATAAGTCAATATGAGTTGTCAAGCTTATTTTTTGAGACAGAATGTCTGTCCTAGTTAGTTTTGGTTGTTAACTGAACACAATCCAGGGTCATCTGAGAAGGAAAGCCTTGGCTGAGATATTCCCTAGGTCAGCTTGGCTTGTGGTTATGCCTAAGAAGATAGTCTTGATTGTGAATGGATGTAGAAGGGCCCAGCCCACTGTGGACAGCGCCATTTCCTGGGAAGGTGGTGTTAGGCTGAGTAAGAAGCCTAGCTAAGCGTGAACCTGTTAGCTAGCAAACTAGCCAGCATCATCCTCCAATGGTCTCTGCTGTACTTCCTTGGCTGGTCAGATGTCATGCTACGAAAAACAGGTTCCTGCCTTGACTTCCCTCATTGGTGTACTATTGACCCTAGTGTAAGCCAAATAAACCCTTCTCTCCATAAGTTTCTTTTTTTTTTTAAGATTTATTTATTTATTATGTACACAACATTCCTTCCATGTATGCTTGCATGCCAGAAGAGGGCACCAGATCTCATCATAGATGGTTATGAGCCACCATGTGGTTGCTGGGAATTGAACTCAGGACCTCTGGAAGAGCAGTCAGTGCTCTTAACCTCTGAGCCATCTCTCCAGCCCTCCATAAGTTTCTTAAGGTCAGAGTGACTTATCATAGCAATTGATGGGAAACAACCTGGAGCTCCTTGATCCCCCTAGGCTGGCTGGCTCATGACCTCCAGGGACCCACCGAATATCTACTCTCCCCACACACACTCCCACTACCCTTACAGACACGCTGCTCTGAGTGACTGACGTTTACCTGGGCTCCGGGGCTCCAGACTCAGCTTCTCATGTTTGCACTGCAAGCACTTTGCTGATCCCACCATCTCCCCAGCCCCTAAATGGAGTTTTGATATACTAACCATGGAAAGTTAAATGGGAAGAAGAATAGCCTATGCCTTGTGTGGTTGTTTTGAACAATAAGTTAAAGACCAGCACATAAATGCTTGATTCTTTTTCTCTGCTTGATTTTGGCTTTGTATCTCTTCTTTCACATCCTCAAGATGCGGAATTGGCAGAGATTTTGAAGAGAACACCCAGGATTGGGGGATGGGAAGGTCCGGTGTAAATGCCGCTGCCTTTTCCCTCCTGTGCAATCACAATAGAAGAATTTTCTTCTTTACGGTCTCACTTTCCTCATCTCTACAATTAGTATAAAATACTTTCACTCCCTATGAAAGAGCCCTGTACATTCTTAATTGAAATCACACTATATATGGAAATTAAAGGCCTCTCCTATTCTGTTACCAAGACTAGTCATAGTCTTGGAAAGCTTTCAGACTTACAGAATCTATAAGAACACTATAAGGTCCTTTAATGAGTCTTCTAGACCTTTTGGTTTTCAAGATTTCTTTATCAAGACAAATCTGTCAAGAAGAGAGGCCCCAAAGTGGGTGTTGCACATGTGTTTGGGGAAACGGAAGCATCAGAGAAATGACTGCAGAAGTCAAAGATCTAAAAGGCCGTCTTGAAGGTAGACAGTTAAACTTCTGAGTGATGCCCTGGGCAAGAACCAGGACTTCCCGTAGATGTGCCTGCGACAGATTCAGTATCCAGTAAAAAGCAAGAGTATTCTTTTGAAGACAGCACCAGAAAATTAAAACAACTACTCGGAGAGAAAAAGAGGAAATCGAGAAGGAACTTCAGATCGTTTTAAGGGGTTGGTCAGAGGAACTAGTAAGGCAACAGGTGGTGGAGCAATTTGTTGACTTGGCTTGAGAAAGGCTTATTCTCTCTAGCAAGGCTCCAGGCCAGGAGAGAGGGAAGAGGAGGAGCTTGTGTGTGAGGAGGTAAAAATGAGGAAAGCAGGAGGTGGGCTAAGAACTGCGGCCTGGTTTGACTGAATGTAACCAGTGTGTAGAGCTGCAGTGTTGTCGCTGGCTGCTTCAGGCCCCAGAGCCTAGAGGTGCACACAGTCCACTTACTCAGTTAACTCAGCAAACATTTACAGGCCTGAGAGTGAATTCCCCGCAGTGGACCCACGTGGGATTGCCGGCTTTGGCGAGCCTCCTTGCCTAGCGACCAGCAGAGGGCAGAAGAGACACGCAGATGCCGAACGCTGCACAGCCCACTGCCTAGCTTCCCCGCGGGGGAAACTGGGTCACTTGGTCCTGCCAAGCGCCAGCATTGCCGGGGTGGACACACTGGGGTTCACCACAGGCACAGTGAGACCTCCCACACCATTTGCCAAGGCTACGGAAGTATTCTTGCTTTTGAGCTTACAGAAGTCACCCCCATTTATAGAAGGCGGGATGAGACAGACAACAGGACTTGGTTTATTAGGTTTATTTTTCTTGAAGCAGCTCGCTGGCGCACTTGTTTGGTTTTTAAGACAAGTTCTCACTATGTGCTCCAAGCTGGTCTGGAACTCATGGTCCTCCTGCCTCAAAACGCTGGAATGTACAGGAAGGAGGACACCACTGCATGTGGGATGGCTCAGGGTTGGGATAAAAAAAAGCTAGAGAGCATTCTTCCAGTAAACAATTAAGTAGTAGGTCACCGGGCAGGCCTCAGGCTGGGTTTTAGAGCACAGGGGAGGCCAGACCCTACAAAGCACTGATGGATGGAGCAGATTGCCTCAAGAGAGTTTACGGAAGCGGTCAGGGCTCTCCTAGGCTGGGAGGAAACTTCCATTTGGAGTTTGGGGGAGGGCTAAGTGAATAGGTAAGTGCCAGATCACATTTCTTAATGGTTAGGAGGCAGACTTGGAGTCAGATTGGCTTCTTCTCTTAGTCTTGCCAACCAGATGCCGTGGAACCTTGAGCCAGTCATTTTCCGACCTCATTTGTCTCTTCTGTAAGCTGGTAGGGCCACTCTAAAGACGAAGCAGAAGAAAGGCCCATTGTGTCAGGGTGTGGCTGGGTCTCCTCCCCTTCCGCCCTCCCTGGTGGGACATCAGGTACTGCACTCACATCTGTGGCTGGTACCTCTGGAGCAGGACAGGAAGGAGGGATACCCACTAGGCTATTAGTCCTTCGAGTGATCTCATCCTGCAGGAGAACTGCTAACGTGGAGCCAGTGGACTCCTCTCCATCCGAGCACATAGCAGCCTGCTACAAAGAGACGTAGGGGGTTTGGGGTGACTATGTCTCTGGCCCTTAAAGCATAAGATCTTCGAGGGTTGAGAAATTAGTAAATTAGAGTGGTCTGGAATGAGAGGGGACTTGGAGATGGAATGGGACTCTGGGTCTTCTTATGGACTCTGTGATAGTTAGTAGGGCCATCCAAATGCTAGTCAAGGATTGGTTGATATGAGTGAGCCTGGAAGACATTATGTTAAGGGAACTATGCCAGGCACAGAAGGTCAAATACTGCGTGCTTTCATGTGAGGAAGCTAAAAAGTTGATCTCCTTGAAGATGAGAGTAGAATAGTAGTTACCAGAGGCTGGGGGCGTGGGGAGAGGATAAGAAAGGGTTGGCTAGTGGGTAGTAGTATGCAGGAGGAAAACGTTCTAATGTTCTATAATTACAGTAGTGAGAATATAATTTATAATAATTTATTGTGTATTTCAAAATAGCTAAGAGGAAGGATTTTGAATGTTTCCAACCTAAAGAAGTGATAAATGTTTGAGGTGACAGATATGCTAATTACCTTAATCCAATCGATAAACATTTTATACTTGTATTGCAAGTGTCACATTATATCTCATAAATATGTAGAGCTATTTTGAGGTTTTTTTTTTTTTCAAAAGAACCAACTTGTGAGTGTTTTCTCCATTAAGGCCCGGCAGCAAGAACTGTGCTGTCCTTTCCACTTCAGCAGAGGGAAGTCAGGCATGGCTACGTCTACATAAAAAGGCTAAGCACAGTGCTCCATACTTATTACTTGGTAATGAGGCAAGAATCCTGGAGAACTAATTGGAATTCTTAGCTTTACTGATTAAAAAAAAAAATGAAAGCAAGGCTCAGAGAACCATGTGGCCAGGGAACCACTATTCCCATCCTTTTCCATTGCCTTTAGGGTCTTTCTCTGTGACCATTTGGACGTTTGGCTGGATCTCTCCAATGCTTAGGCATCTCTGCCTTTGGGACAAGCTCTTCATGAAATCCTCACATTGGACTCGGGTCAGTGCTTGTGTAACGCCACCTTAGAAGTAAGACAGCTGGAATTCTTCCAGTCAGACCAGCTCTGGGTACACTGTGTACTCTAAGACCGATAGGTCCTGCATTGGGTGCGTGATGCTGGGGACATGATCTAATAAACAACAGTCACCAGATTTAGAATCCCAGCACCGCTGTGTGGGTTGTGAGACCTGACACAAGGTGTTCAAGCTTCAGGTATCAGTGTCTTCATCTGATGGAGACAATAGTAGTATTTACTTTATGAATTTTTGTTTTTCCAGTTTCTCTTAACCTGCTGGTTCTCAGCCTTCCTAGTGCCGGGACCCTTTAATCCCGGGTCCCGTTTCTCCTGCTGTGGTGACTCCCAACCACGAAATCATTTTTATTACTATGGTTATGAATCAATGTAAATATTTGATAAGCAGGGTATTTGATATGTGGCCCCCATGAAAGGGTTGTTTGACCCTAAGGCTCACGGCCCATAGGTTGAGAACAACTGTCTTAATCTGAAATTAGAAGGAAGTATATAACTGTTTGGCTTTCTCTTTTTCTTGGAAAAGTCAAACAGCAGGATCCAAAAGGTAAGAGGTTGGAAGACAGTCTCTATAGTTTTCTAGTGCAAGCACTGGGAGCTGTTGATTAGAACAAATAATTCAAAAGCTGGGAAGCAGGGCCTGGCAGGCCTGTGCTCTCCTATTGTGACCATATCCTAACCACTGAGCTTCCTAGTGCGTTAGAGTCCTCTATGGACAAGCAGAGCGTGTCCTTAAAGGTCCTGCGCCCTCTACCTACTGAGACTCAGTTACTGGGCTGGCCTCTTGTTTTCTGGGATTTGACCCAGGCCTCATATTGCCACAGCCACTGAAGAGGGAGCACTTTGATGGTGTTCTGGCCTGCTTCCCAGAGGCGGTCACCAGGCCCCAGGGAAGCCCCTGGTTTACTCGTGTGAATGCTGCAAAGGGCCAGGCAATGGGAACTTTGGCCTTTTGGCATGTGCTTCCAGCCAAAGCTTTTCAAGGAAAGATGAGGACGAACAGTAAGGTTGGCAAAACAGTGAAAAATAACCCAGAGCTTGCTTTCTGTGGCCTTGCTCTGAAACCTCCAGCCTCAGCCACCTGGGAAATGATGAATCCCTGAAAAGAAACGATGGTCTGGGAAGTTTCCCATTTGAAATGGCCTTGGCAAGGAATGAGTCCCACTAGGGTGTAGGGGTAGAATACAGCACGGAAAAGCAAGTATGGATGGGAGCAGGTACCCTGTGACGGATTCAGTCAGCCAGTAAGCAGTGACTCAGTATCAGGTGTGATGGCCTTGGGTGACAGCTGTGGGGGTGTCATCGGGGAATTCAGGCAAAGCTTACTAGGATTACTCGGGCTCCATGAAACATGGTGTGGTTTGGAATCTAAATACGAAGTAGGTAAGAGTGGGAAAGACTCAATCTCAGAGGGCTGCAAGGGCTCCCGGGAGGTGTCCTGGAGCTGTGCACTGTCAGCCAGGGGTGGGTGGTTTATCCCCACTGGGTAGGGAGCTGTCACAAATCCCCGATTCTGACTCTGCAAAGTATATATAAATGTCGTTGACTTATTGAATCGAATGATCTCTCTGCGACCAGCAGGGACTGGTGTGATTATGATCTTCCTTGCTTTCAGACAGAAGACCAAGAATGAACCATCAGTACACACCCAGAGTCACCCAGCTGCTGAAGCTTGGAGCTGAGGCCCATTCCCAACCGGAACACACCCATTCCCATTGGTAATGCACTCATTCCAAGAGAGCGCTAACCCCTATGTCTTTCAATAGCCTCATAGCAAAGACGGACAACACCCCAACCCCACCCATGCAAAAGATTCTGGCAGAAATGTAAACACATTTAGGGAAAACCAGATGTTTTGGTTGTTCATAGGATTGCCGGACAAGTGGCCAGTGGCCCTAGTGTCACCCACAGACTCCTCTTGTACATTTCAGACTGACACTTGATGTCTACATTTATGCTTGGTCACTCCAGGACATCTTGGTGACTTACAAAGAAGCGAAATGCTGGCCTTGCTTAGGCAGGCGGAGGGACAGCACTGAAACCCTGGTAAAGCCTTTCGTCCTTCCAATCAGATCACCTTGAGGAAGTTTTTAAATCTTCTGGGTCTGGACGTGCACATTTCTTAAAACAATGACAATCAACCACATCAAACAAAGCATACAAGTTTGCTCTGAGAACTGAGTGACTTAACCCAAATACAGTCACATACCTGTGAGAGGAGATTCAATATGCTATTTTTTATGGCATAAAATGTGGAACTTCACTGCAAAAATTTATGAGAATAATATCTGAACATTTACAATATGCTGATTGCTCTCAGTTTCTTAATTTTATATATGCTCTCACCTAACAAAAATACTCCTACAAAGCAGGTAGTATATATCCCCCATTTTTCAGATCAAGAAACTAAGGCTCTGAAAAGTTAGGCTATCATTCAAGATTAAGGTACTCAAAGCTCAAGCGCCTGGTCCATGCACAGCTTCAAGGACTTGAACCTGACCTGAGTGTCCAGGGAATGAGGAAAAGACTAACAGAGACAGACACACATAAGAACAGGGATTGGACAGGTAAGCTCAGTATGTTTATTATACAGAATTGAACTTTGAGGTGGGGCTTTTGCATACAGCTGAACAAGGAGGCAGTATTATTATATACAGATAAACAATGAGACAGAATTTATGATATACAGCTGGATGAAGGAGGAAGGTTTAGCTAGTCTTGGTAGGTGTGGTCTTTGTAGGGGAACAGTCTTCAGGCCTTTGGCGGTGAAGACACACACTCTCAGCACCCATGGATGAACCAAAGAAAGGCTTTCTCACTTCCTCTGAGCCTCCTTCCTGGGGGAGGGCTTTTCCACTCCTCTGAGGGTCTGAGGCTCTCGGGTCCTAGACAAGGCAATGCCCACATTCATTCAGTATTTCACTCATGCAAGGCTTTCTTCATCCCTGCACTCATGAGCTGAACGTCTAAAATGCCCTAATTCTTGCTTTCCTATGATAACTGCAGGAGCTTACCCAGAAACGAGCTTCTAAGCCATCCTCGGTTTATTTGCTTGTTTTGTGAGGCAGGATCTTTTCTAGGCTGACCTCAAACTCACCATTCCTCTGCCTTAGCATCAAGTTCTGGGGTGGCAAGCATGGCCCGATTCTGTTTGGAATACGTCAGTCTTCTGCAGGGAGCTTTGCGTCCCCTGCGTTACTAGTTAACATATCTCCTAAGAACACGGTGGTTACACTTTTCACTTTCGTTTTTCATGCATTACCTCTGTGTGTCTATTTCCTATGCGATGCAGATGCTCTTTCGGGGGCATGTACAGAATCTTATTCTAATTCTCTTTATTTTCTTTCCTTGAAACTGTCACTGCAGGGCATTGCAAACAGTGGACTCCTGGTAAATGCCTGTTGATCTGAGGTGTGTGTGACGCAGAGTGAGCTGAGCACAAAGACCAGGTTGAAACGCCTGTTTCCCTTGACTCCAGGCAAGTGACTTAATCCTTGTCCTTCAGCATACTCACTGGGCAATGGGATGACAATATGTACCACCATGGGATTGTTCTGAGGAAATAAATGAAATGGAAAAACGCAGGCACAGCATTTACACAGTCCCTGGCACACATCACATATTCAGTCAACAGTGAGTTTTCTAGGACTTGTTTGCATACTTGGTAAGGCAGATGGCCACAGTGAGGAAAATAGGAGGTACCCTGGGAGACTTGGAGACTCGGGGACACTACTCAAGACCAGCGTAGTGAGTGTCCTGGGGAATGGTGGAACAGAGGTACACAAAAATGAAGGAGGTGTTCTAACAAAAGTTCAGAAACACAGAGCAGAGCCAATAAAATGAGTGTGAGGCTGCTTGGACACTGGACACGGGAGAAGGGGACTGAGCAAGGAGAGAAGCCTGAAGCAGCACCTCAGATGCTCAGGATGAAAGAGCATGTAGAAGAGACTCGTCATTTGAAACCAAGAAAATGGCTGGGTGTGGGGAGGAAGGGGTCAGAGGGAAATCCCAATATAAAGTAGCTGTGGACAGAGTGGTATCTGCCTATATCTGAACGGAGGATCTGAAAGCCAAAAAAATATGAATAATCCAGGCATCAGGTTCAAGGAAAGAGGCAGTTGTTCTTTTACGACCTGAAGGGCACTTGACTAAGCCTCTTAGGCAGTTTAAGAACACTTCTAATGTAGTTTAGGCTGAGATGTCTCTTGATGGGGCATGGGAATTACTGAAAACTCTAACCAGGAGGAATCAAGAACAATAAAAGCCTAAGGATGTGGGGCCCCTGGACGCAGACAGGGGAGATTGAACCCTGTTTATCCTGGGGAGGTCGGCAGAAAGTTACCGCAGTGTGGAGGAAGAAGCCTCGTTCTGTAGCGCCATGGGCCTCTTTTGCAAAGCAAGAAGGGTCTTTTGTGAGCATCAACTAGAATTTCTGCACCTTAACTCCAAACCTTCCTGGCACAGCTGTTTCTATCTGCAAGCTGTTGGGACAGGGAGGCTGAGATAATGTAAAAGAAGTGGGCTGGTCTCTTCTGAAATTCTGACACTCCCTTCTCCATAGACACCAAGGAAGAGGCTTGTGTAGCCATTAACCAGCCCACAGGGATAGAGTCTTTTCTGGCTTTAGGATCTAAGTGAGATTATCCAGAGCAATCTGCAGACTAATTTAAGGGATGATCTGTAGATATATATGGACATGGAAGTACAGAGAAACAAAAGGGTTTTTTTTCCTGTTTTTGTTTTGTTTTGTTTTGTTTTGTTTTTGTTCTTCACCCAGAAGATCAAGGCAAACAGGTCCTACCTGGGGATCCAAGTGGCCATGTTTGGCCGTCTCCAATCAAGACTGCCATACAGTTCAATATGTTGCAGGTGGGGGGACACTGTGGGGCCAACTGCTGGGTGCTTTCGTGCACAGAACTGGAAGTAGAACACATCACTTCATTCCACTGTTCAGCACTCTGTACAGGGAACACAATCAAATGGGAAAGAGACTAGGAAACCAAGTATGTCTGTGTGTTGGGAAGAAGATAGGAATGGATGGCGACTAGTGAGCAATCTCTGCCACAGGTCTCGAGCATGCAGAACTTTGGTGATAGATGGCTGCAAAGAAGCAACAGGAACTAAACAGATGAGATCGGGCGCGCTCAGGGTGGTCTGGCCATAGAAAGCAGAAATTAAACAAATTGACAAGTCAGGAAAGTCAGGACAAATAGGTGAGCTTCACAACGGAAAGCTCCCTGAGCTGGGAGGCTCTTGCCCTGGGTGCTTTGGAGGCCTAGAGTACATGCTGAACAGAGGGTGAGGATATGATCGCTCAGGGAACACTTTGGACTCAGCGGGGGAAGCCTCAGAGAAGCCTAGAGGCAACTCAGGTCACCAGGTAGGAAAGAAGGCACCACACAAGCACCCATAATCCACACTGCAGTGACTGTGCATGGTTCTCCTGCCACTCACCTGTGTAGGAGGGGCTATAGAGCTAGGGCCTAGGAGGAGGGGCCCAAAGAAAGGTGGAGAGCTTTATGGGAGAAAACAGAAACAGGAGCAAAGTCCATCCTCCATGCAATGTAGGAGACAGATTGGATTCAGTGTGTTTGTTCTTTTGGGTACGACAGACCTAGGCAGCAGCTCTTCTGGCTGTGATAAGAATCTCTCTACCTATAATGCCCTAGACAGAAACCACTAGCCACATGCGGCTGTGGAGTACCTCAGGCGTGGCTAGAGTGACTTGGGAACTGAATTATATCACATTCCATTTTAATTAAGGGAAACCCAGATCACCACCTGTGGCTAGTGATTCTCGGACTGCACAGAGTAGGTGCGCAGTCCCGTGGAAGGAGGGCAGGGTATGAGCCACGGCACATTATTTCCCTGTCATTGTTCTTGGCCCTATAGGAAAGCCCTGCTAGGTGGTAGTCCGGCTTTACCCTTAGGTTTGCGTATGCTTTGGCCTTGGTCTCTGGAATTTCCATATCCTCCTGAGGAATTCTGTGGCAGATTAATGTGGAGAAGAAAATCTGGGGTGGAGCAGTGGGCAGCCAGAAGAGCTTACAGGGTCTTCATGGAATAAATCCTTAAGCCCTAAAGTGGGTTTGTACCCTACATTCTCTACCTTTGGCCTCTGGACATTGCTCGTAGTTTCTTGGCTGGAAGGAATGTCTGAGCCACTGAGGCATGGGTGACGGGCTAGTGTTCTGAAGGTCCCTCAGAGAAGGCGGCATGGCTTGAGAATGGGAAGGTTAATTGTACCTGCCACTCTCCTGTCCTCCGCCTAGACTGTCTAATGCCACTTGCCTGGTTCATGCCCAGACTGTCTAAATGGCGAGTGTTTGGTGTCTGCTACCCCTGCACTCCTTCCCAGCATCACTGAGGTTCTAGAACATCTCTTCACCTGTTTAGATGAGCAGGACCAAGCGATCAGGCAGGCAATCACTTTCTCTTTCTCTTCAGGAGAGCATGAGCAGTAGACATGAGTCTCCATTTTTGTTTCCTTAGGACCTATGGCCTGGGACGACCTTACTAGAGCTCCAGAGCCAATACCCAAAGCCCTGCAGTTTCTTCTTTCCTCCAGACTCCGGCTTACCCACTGGAGGTGTGGGGGTGGGGTAGAGCCACACTGATTCCTTTCTATTCCTTCTTACTCTCTGTTATCTTCCACTGTGGGGAAAACTGGCTTCCATTCTTTCTCTGGGAGACAGAGTTGGCTAGTGAAAGGGCATTACAGGAGTGACCATGCAGGGTGGTGCCTGCTATGCGCAGGCCTGGGTTTTCCTTAAACTCAGACTTTGCTTCTCGTTCAAAGGCCATCCCAGCGCTCTCTCTCTCTCTCTCTCTCTCTCTCTCTCTCTCTCTCTCTCTTTCTCTCTCTCTTTCCACTGAAGCTTTCTTGGAGCCCTGCATCCAGGTTTTATGCACAGCCCCTGCCTCTCAGCAGGACTCCCAGGGAACCTTTTCTGAAGCACACAGTTAGCAGTCTCCCACCTGTGGGATATCTGCCAGAGGCTCCTCAGTGGCTCCCAAGAGGCCAGATGCCTTAGCACGACTGGGAAGGCACATCTCTGTTCCTTCTTCTCCTGTAAGTAGCCTAGGGTGACCACTTCCCCTATTTCATCCGGGACACCTGATAATCATTTGGAAGCCTAGCCTTCCTGACACAACCAAGTTCATTCACAGCGCCTACAAATGCGTTCCAAGTTCCCCGTGTCTGTTCTGCCTAAGAAGTAAGTCCCTTCCTCTGCATCTCTCCCACCTGCTCAGGGACCACCTCCGTCCAACATTCCTTCCCTTCCTAGTGCCTGCAGGAGAGTTTTGACAGTTCCCTCTCAGTCCTCTTGAAGTCCCATGTGAGGTTTCATGATGCTAGTTTCCTTACCTGTGCACCCAGCATCCTAATGGGCTCATTTGGACTAGCTGCTTAGATGGACAGAAGACTTAGGAAGCTTGCTTCCATCTTAGAAAGATGAGACAATGCATCCAGGACCCACAGTGGGTAGGCTATCAAATACTCTTGAAGAGCCATCTCTACAGAAGGCAGCTGTTTCTTATAGGTACCCTCAATGGACAAACAAAGACCCAGGTACAGCCAGTGTGGTCTCTTTCAAGGAGCTGGTGCCGCATACCTAGTGATTACATGGTACCTTTTCAGCATCCAGCTCACGGGATGAAGCTGAGCTCACACTTCGGTTTCTTTGCTATTGTTTTAGTCTTTGTTGCTTTCTAGCTTGCAGAGAGTCTCAGGCAATTTGTGGCAACTGCTTTTCCATGCTCATGGTGCCCTTTCTGAGTCTGGAGTCAGAGGCTTCAAAACTGGGGCCGGTGTGCTCTCTCCCATCTTTGGACTGCTCTCTTGAGACCCACCTCCCACGGCCTCCCCCATCCCCATGAGAAGCCCAACAGCCAAAGCATTTTATTCATGGATGCTCCTTCTGTGCAGGGCTTTGAGAGTGGCTGCTTCTCCACCGCTTGCTCAGTCGGGGCCCTGCCAAGCCTCCTCCTCCACACCTGATGGTGTACCTGGCTGGGTTCTCAGCCACAGCCAGGGTTGCTTTATGTGGTTCCAAGCCCGGCTGTGTTCCTTCTTCTTTGAAAGAACACCCATGGTGCCAGAGCTATCACCAACTCACTAACCAATTCTTTTTCTCGTCCCTTGACCCCTCCCTGGGGCACCTCCTAGAGCCCTTGTTGGCGCCCTCCACATACCGTCCCTCTGTACTAAACCACACCCAGCCTCCTTGAACTACAATTATGTAGGCGTGTTTTACCGCCCCTCCCCCCAGTTGCGGTGCATTCCTTAAAAGCAGGCTTGGGCTAAGTACAGCTCTGTGCCTCCCACATTCTCCACATTCTCCCATAAGCCCTTGCCCAAGGTAAGTTTTAATGTCTCCTTATTGATTCCTTGCAAGTGGAGGCTCCTTAAGGGGTTTGCGAAGCTTGGGTTCCATTAGGCAAGAGAACTTGGGTTCTCTTTCATTAGAACGTTTCAAAGAGTATTCTACGCAGAGTATCAGTAGGTATTGAAGGATAGAGAGACCCAATCTATCCTAATCAAATAAAACAGATTTCTTAGAGCCTTAATATGTT